CTCACGCCTGTCATCCTAGTTTTCTGGGAGGGAGGCCCAGGCAGGAGGCTCGCTCCAGCTCAGACCCCGTCTCTACTAAAAAATAGAAAGAAATTAATTGGCCAACTAAAAAAATATATATATATATAAAAAAAAAACGAGCCGGGCGTGGTGGCGCACGCCTGTCGTCCCAGCTACTCGGGAGGGAGGCCGAGGCGGGAGGATCGCTCGAGGTTAGGAGTCGGAGGCCGGCCTGAGCGAGAGCGAGACCCCGTCTCTACTAAAAACAAAAAATAGAAAGGAATGAGCCGAACAACTAAAAATATATAGAAAAAAAACGAGCCGGGCGTGGAGGCGCACGCCTGTCGTCCCAGCTACTCGGGAGGGAGGCCAAGGCGGGAGGCTAAGCTGGAGGCTGCTGTGAGCGAGGCTGACGCCACGGCGCTCACTCTAGCCCGGGGCGACTCACTCGGTCAAAAAAAAATGTAAAATAAACAGAGTCCGACCTCCAGTTTTGGCCCCTGGGGCGGGGGAAGAGAGGACGGTCCGGCCTCCCTTTTTCCACCCAGCCTCGACCTCGAGGAGCGGCAGGTGCACAAACCCTCAGTTCTCTGGGACCCCGAACCCCTGAAAGAGGCCGAGGGGGAGGAGGGGAGGCCGCTGTCGCCGGGGCCTCTCCTCTCCCTGGCTCACCTCTGTCCTCCCTTCCCCGCCTCCCCGCCCGGCCTCTCTCCCTGGCTCACCTCTGTCCTCCCTTCCCCGCCTCCCCGCCCGGCCTCTACCCTCCTCCCATCCCCCCCCCGCAGCGCGCCCAGCCCGGTCTCCATGGTGGAGGACGGCGTGGGCCCCACCGGCTCCGAGGACACCCAGGCCAGCTACTCGTCCTTGGCGCTGGGGGACAAGGCCGAGAGGGAGGCCGCCGTTGAGGCCGCGGCCTCCATGGAGAAAAAGTAGGTGGCCCCTCCCCCGGGGGGTCGGGGGTGACAACCCGCAAAGGGAGGTGGGGGGCGGCCTCTTGTGTTTGTTTTTTTTTTGAGGCCCAGTCTCGCTCTAGAGCCTCACAGCAGCCTCCGACTCCTGGGCTCCAGCCAGCCTCCCGCCTGGGCCTCCATTCCCCCGAGTAGCTGGGACGACAGGCGTGCGCCTCCACGCCCGGCTCGTTTTTTTTTTTTTCTATATGTTTTTAGTTGTTTGAGTAATCTCTTTGCATTATTTTTTTTAAGTAGAGACTGGGATCTCTGAGTTCTTGCTCAGGCCGGCCTCGAGCGATCCTCCTGCCTCGGCCTCCCTCCCGAGTTAGCTGGGACTACAGGCATGCGCCTCCACGCCCAGCTCATTTTTTTCCTATATATATATATATATATATATATTTTTTTTTACTTGGCCAATTAATTTCTATTTTTTAGTAGACATGGGGTCTCGCTCTTGCTCAGGCTGGCCTCCACCTCCTGACCTCAATTGAGCGATCCTCCCTCCTCAGCCTCCCAGACTGCCGGGATGACAGGCGTGTGAGCCTCCGCGCCCGGCTAATTTCTTATATATATTTTTAGTTGCCCAATTAATTTCTATTTTTAGTAGAGACGGGGTCTCGCTCTTGCTCATGAGGCTGGCCTCCAACTCCTGGCCTCCATCGAGCGATCCTCCCTCCTCGGCCTCCCAGAGTGCTGGGACGACAGGCGTGAGCTTGGATTTTTTTGAGGCTGGCTTTTTTTTTTTTTTTTTATAATGGACATATGCTTGTGTATTTTTTTTTTTTTTTTTTGACTAATTCAAATAATTTTATTTTTTTTATGTCACGTCTATGTCCTCACCCCAAGAAATGGATTCGAAACGACTTGATGTCTCTCAGCCTCCATGATTTGATACGCAAGGGCCTCCATGTCCGTTTAGGGGTCCCCGGGGTTGGGCGGGGGTTGAACCGCTGTCTCCCCCTTCTTCCCTCGGGAAAGCAAGGGCGGATGAGGATGTGATGAAGGCCGGAGGGGGGAGGGGAGGAAGGTCCCTCCTCTGTCTGTCCCCGTGGGCGGAGGCTGGAGGCCAAACGGAGCCTCCAATGGAGGCCCTGGACCCGGCCTTCCGGCCACGAGTCCGCTTGATTTTTAAAAGCTGCCAAACTGGGGCCAGGCGCGGAGGCTCACTCATCCCAGCACTCTGGGAGGCCGAGGAGGGAGGCTCGCTGGAGGTCGGGAGGTGGAGGCCAGCCTCTGAGCAAGAGCGAGACCCCGTCTCTACTAAAAACAGAAAGGAATTAATCGGCCAACTAAAAATATATAGAAAAAAACGAGCCGGGCGTGGAGGCTCACGCCTGTCGTCCCAGCTACTCGGGAGGGAGGCCGAGGCGGGAGGATCGCTGGAGGTCGGGAGTTGGAGGCCAGCCTGAGCAAGAGCGAGACCCCGTCTCTACTAAAAGAAAAATAATAGAAATTAGCTGGACAGCTAAAAATACATATAGACAGAGAAAAAATGAGGCCGGGCACGGAGGCTCACGCCTATTCGTCCCAGCGTGAGGTCCTGAAGACTCCGCTGCCTCCCGGCCTCCTTCCTCAGCCTCCTCTGCCCGCCAGCAGCCGGGCCGGCCTCTTTCCAGGCCTCGTAATTTTAGCTGCAGGAAAAAACGGGTCCTCGCAGGCCCGGGCCGTCCCCACGGGGGACAGTGGGGCTGCAGGAAAATGTCACCGTTCTCGGCGACTTATGGAGGTTTCGTCCCCAACGCCCCAGTGAGCCCGGGGGCCGCAAAATAAAATAAAACAAAATAAAATTTAATTTATTAAATTGAATGAATAGATGTATTAAATAGAATAAATAAATTAAAGAGACGTATTAAATAAAATAATTCAAATAAATAGATAAACTTATTAAGTAAAATGAATGAAGTTTATTAAAGTAAATAAATTTACTAAATAAAATAATCTAAATAAAATAGATAAATTTATTAAATAAAGTAATTCAAATACAAAGATAAATAAAATAATTCAAATAAAAAGATGAATTTATTAAATAAAATAAATAAAATTTATTTAATAAATAAATTTATTAAATGAAATTATTTAAATAAATAAATTTATTTATTAAATTAAATAAATTTATTAAATAAAATGATTTTAATAAATTAAATAGATAAATTTATTAAATAAAATAATTCAAATAAATGAAATAAATGTATTAATTAAAATAAATAAAATTTGTTAAAGTAAATAAATTTATTAAATAAAATAATTCAAATAAGTGAAATAGATAAATTTATTAAATAAAATAAATAAAAATTATTAAATAAATAAACTTATTAAATAAAAATTTAAATGAATTAAATAGATAAATTTATTAAATACAATAATTCAAATAAAAAGATAAATTTATTAAATAAAGTAAATAAAATTTATTTAATAAATAAATTTATTAAATAAAATAATTTAAATAAATAAACTTATTAAATAAAATTTACTGTAGTCGGGGCGACACAATAACAATAATAATAATTTAAAAAGAGGCCAGAGGAAGAAAAATAACTGGAAATTCCCGAGGCGTTCTTGAAAGTCACCGGGAGGCCGGCAGCGATATGTTGAGATGTTTTCAGACTAGAGTGATGTTGGTTGATATATATATTTTTTCCCGAAACACAAGGGCCTCGCGCGCAGGGTGGGAAGGAACGGGGATTTGGGGGTGACCGGGGAGGGGACGTAAAAGCGACAAGCTGACCCGGCTGGAGAGCTCTGGGGTTCCCCACGGGGCCGACCTGGGAACCCGGGGTGGTGGGGGGTTTGGGGGTGTCTCTGGGTGACCCAAAGTCTCTTCCGGACCCGGCGTTAGGGGGAGATGCCCCAGGTGGGTGCCGGGGTCGCCCGCGCGGGAAGCCTGCTCGCCCGGCCAGGCGGATTCCCCTTGGTTACCTCTCCGGACGGGGAGCTCACTACCTGCGGGGCCGTTTCCCGTGCAGCTCTGACTGGGGGAGACGAGAGCAAAATATATATATTTTGTTGAGACAGAGTCTCACTCTGTTGCCCGTGGCGTCAGCCTCGCTCACGGCAGCCTCCAACTCCTGGCCTCAAGCGAGCCTCCCGCCTCGGCCTCCCTCCCGAGTAGCTGGGACGACAGGCACGCGCCTCCACGCCCGGCTCGTTTTTTTTTTTTCTATATATTATTAGTTGGCCAATTAATTTCTTTCTATTTCTAGTAGAGACGGGGTCTTGCTCTTGCTCAGGCTGGCCTCCAACTCCTGGCCTCCAGCGATCCTCCCTCTTCGCCTCCCAAATTAACGATCGTGGAATATCAGAAATCGCGAGCACCGAGAGTGAGAAGATAGAGCAGGAACAGACGAAGGGGAAACCTTTAGGGGGTGTCATTCTGGACACAGGTGGCTAAGAAGAACCTTCCGGCCAGGCGCGGAGGCTCACGCCTGTGATCCCGGCACTCTGGGAGGCCGAGGAGGGAGGCTTGCTCGAGGTCAGGAGTTGGAGGCCAGCCTGAGCACGAGCCAGACCCCGTCTCTACTAAAATCAGAAAGAAATGAATTGGCCAACTAAAAATATATAGAAAAAACGAGCCGGGCGTGGTGGCGCACGCCTGCAGTCCCAGCTACTCGGGAGGGAGGCTGGGGCAGGAGGCTCGCTTGAGCCTCAAAGTTGGAGGCTGCTGTGAGCGAGGCTGGCGCCACGGGCAGCCGAGTGAGACTGTGTCTCAGAAAAGGAAGGAAGGAAGAAGAAAGTTCCTTCTCATTCTCACCCGGGAGCCGCCCCACCTGGGACTCACAGGGCCTCCACTCTGGGCCTCCTTCCCGTCCCCTCTGCCCTGTGACAGCCATTGCTCCTGGGGAAGAGGCTCCAGCCTCCCTCCCCCCCTTCGGCACCTTGAACTTGAATTTGCATTTATCCCTGTGGGTTTATCTGGGGGCATCTCATCCCCCCTGGGGAGCAGGGGCAGAGATCTTTCTAGAACATTCTAGAAAGACAAAGGCTCTCGCTATTGTCAGGGTCTGGAAATCCATAAAGGAAAAGGCAAAACAAAGATAAACTGAGAAAATGTGGCGGAAATGCAAACGGCCACCAAGCAGATGGAAAGACACCAGTCGCGCAAGTGCAAATCAGAATGCAATTAATAGAGGAGGAAATGCAAATTAGAATGCAATTGAAAGAGGAGGAAATGCAAATTAGAATGCAATTGAAAGAGGAGGAAATGCAAATTAAAATGCAATTAATAGAGGAGCCAATGCAAATTAGAATGCAATTGAAAGAGGAGGCAATGCAAATTAGAATGCAATAATAGAGGATAAATGCATTAAAATGCAATCAAAAGAGGGGCATGCAAATTAGAATGCAATTATAGAGGATCCAATGCAAATTAAAATGCAATTTGAAAGGAGCCAATGGATATAGAATGCAATTAGTAGAGGAGGAAATGCAAATTAGAATGCCATTTGAAAGAGAGGCAAATTGCAAATTAGACATGCAATTAATAGGAGGAAGTCAATGCAAATTAGAATGCAATTGAAAGAGGAGGCAATGCAAATTAGAATGCAATTAATAGAGGATGAAATGCAAATTAGAATGCAATTAATAGAGGAGCCAATGCAAATTAGAATGCAATTGAAAGAGGAGGCAATCAATAGAATGCAAGTTGAAAAGAGGAGGCAATGCAAATTAGAATGCAATTAATAGAGGATGAAATGCAAATTAGAATGCAATTAATAGAGGAGCCAATGCAAATTAGAATGCAATTGAAGAGGAGGAATGCAAATAGAATGCAATTAATAGAGGAATGAAAGCAAATTAGAATGCAATTAATAGAGGAGCAAATGCAAATTTAGAATGCATTATATAGAGGACGGAAATGCCAAATTAGAATGCAGATTATAGAGGAGTCAATGCAAATTAGAATGCAATTGAAAGGAGCAATCAAATTAGAATGCAATTAAGAACATACAGATTATGAGGAGCCAATGCAAATTAAATACAAAGAAAAG